GATGGATGGATGGATGGGTAGATAGATGGATGGATGGATGGATGGGTAGATAGATAAATAGATAGATAGATAGATGGGTAGATAGAGACAACACAGATGACAGGAGAGCACAAACCTCCACCAAGGCCCAACAGTCCCTTTAAATCTCACACACTCGTAGATATAAGCTCTTATAAATATTCTGGATCTTTTCCTCCACAGTTGAATGGATTCTGTCTTTGCCCTCGTCACAGTCGTGATCTTACAAAACAAGCACACGCACAGAAAACACAAAACCTCCTGAATATCTCACAGTGTCCCTTTAGAAACAACATTTTAAAACATGTGAGTAATCTGCTCAGTGTCGCTTCAGACTGTCAATCATTGCACATCTGAGGCAGGAGGCTGAAAAGACAGAGCGTGAATTTATTGGCACCAAAGTACCACAAACGTCCACTAGCGGGCAGTGATATGATTTGTATTGCTCAGGTTGTGCCACAATGATTTACAGTGTGAACTCCTCAGATTAAAATGATATATGAATATAAACTAATACAACGGAAATGTAAAAGAAGGTGTGACGGCAAATAGAGTCAAATTCTGAACACACACATAATCTGTCTTATTTTCCGCAGAGAACCTGATAAATTGGATATATACAACATTACAACTGCACGTATGCTCTCAGTTTTTAAAAATACTTAATCGGATTCATAAAGAATCTCTTATAATCTATAACTAAAGCATAATATTTCTAAACTGTGTCTCATATGTCTGTCCCCATCTTCATAAGGGACAAAGAAAAAACGATGATCCGCTGCAGGCCACTTCTCTTCATGTGAGCCACTTCTCTTCATGTGAGCCACTTCTCTATGCAGTTCTGGAACACTGTGTAGTTTTTGTGCCAGTGGACGTGGCTCACTCCGGACTGAACACACTTCGACACGCCGCCACGAGCGTCCAGAGTCTTCAGGCCGAACGTGTCATTCCTGTAAAACTGTCAAAGGGAGAGAAGAACACAGTCAGTGTGCACAGTGTGCTGATGAGGTGACACACACACACACACACACACACACACACACACCCTGCTTCCAGCTAAGTCAGTGTGACTGAAATAACTTCTGTGTGGTTCTGAAAGTAAACCTACCTCCTGCTTCCTCATCTCTACAACACGCTCGTCGTTGTCATAGAATCCAAACTGACTGTGTAGGAAAAAGGAAACGATCAGTTTAGGTAAAGATTCAAGGTTTTGACACTCGACCTGCGAGAGCATCTGTTAGTGTTGAACCTGAGTATCTGTCCGATCGGATGGGATCATTTTCACAGGAGATTTCTCTCCTTGAATTTTCAGGTTTCAGTTGGTTTACAACAATAACATCAGATGTGTTTTAATTAGGTCTTGTATTAATTAGGGCTTTATAATCCACAGGATGGGATTTGTTTTTAAGGTGAGACGCTATTTTGTTGTTTCAATAGCACGTCATCTTTTAGACAAGTAGAAGAAAACATCCAAAATACACATTTAAGTGGATTTTGCTAAAATTTTAATCTAAATTAAAGAGTCAGAAATCTCAACTTCAGTATCAATTACAAACCTATTCCATTTCTAATAATATATTCTTAATGAATTTATGCTAAAAACCTGGTGAAATGTATTTTTCAATGTTATTCTTTATTATTATTATTATTATCTAAAATCCCCTTCACATAAAAATAAGTGTGTGTGAGTGAATCATAAAATGATTGAAACCTGGACTCCCATGGTGTGATGACGCCATCATCTGGTCCTCCGATCAACACAAGCTTCTTGATGCGCAGAAAGTTTTTCCTCCATGCTGATGAAGTGAAAATGAGAGATATATTTTTTTTGTGCAGGTTCACATCACAGCCACAGGTGACGACATGATAGTCGTTGATTCATTCCATCACCTTTCATGTCGCAGTGAGGTCTGTCGCCGTTCAGCACCGCAAGAAAGTCGTTGTTCTGCAGGTACTGAGGCCTGTGGTGAGGGTCTGTGGAGAAAACATGAAAAGTGATTGTAGATTATTCAAAATAGGATAAAATACATATAAAAGTATGTTTGTAGAATCAAAATAGAGACAGTAGACGGGAAATTGCACGGGTAAATAAAATAAATATTACACTTAGGAGTGGTGGATAAATATGACTGACTAAAATAAACATCTGTTGTGGCATCTTGTAATGGACAGATATTCCTCAGTCACAACTCGGTTAAGACTTCCTTCCTCATTCTTACCGTTCCAGTATTCGCAGATAGAAACTTTCTGTCCCAGTTTCCTGTAGCAGATTTTATACACGGTCTTCTTTAGGCACTTAGGAAACACCCACCACAGGTAACTGGTGTCTGTGGAGTCGGAGAGTAAGCGTTTTTAAAAGTTAATTCATATTCAACAGAAAGTTCCCTCAAGGAAAAGGGTTCCAGGTGTGACAGAAATCTTGCAGCGGTGAAGGAATGAAGTTCATTCTGAAGATGGGTGACGTCTTCAGCAGAACAGAATTTATTCTCAACACCAGACACATCAGGGAGACCAGGATGAGGAAAGTTAACACGTCGCAGTGGCCAAACACCATGAAGCTTAGCAGACAAACGCGTCTGAACCTTTGCTCACGTCTTTGAACCATTGTCGCATCTTCTCTATCTCGCCCTATGGAAGTCACAACGCCCTCTCGCAGAGATAGTGTGTACATTCCTTCAGTGGTTTTCTATCTGGCTTCCTCACTCAACCTTGGCTCCTACAAATACTGCAGTGGAGAGAAGGGGACTTGGTATCATGATACAAATACGTGGTGGGTTAGGATCATGTCATCCAGGCCCCAAAACATAACATAATTCATACTCCCTGAAAAATAAAAAAAATGTGATTAACATTTAGACCCAAACCATAAAAATGTGAATGACCAGAAAGAGACGTGATCCCTGACCTCCATATTGTCCGGCCTGAGGCGACGACAGTGAGATGAAGGTGTGCACGTTGTGGTCTGGAGTCATGGAGAGAAGAGCTCGACAAATCAAACCACCTTTAAAAAAAAACAGAGAATACAAATAAGTCACAACGACATCGCCCGAGTTCAGACAGCAGACCGAGAATAAAGATGGCAGCTCCCCAAAAGTGAAGCCAAAAGATGTTTTAATTGTTGCAGCCCCTCTAGAGGCGTCACTTGCGTCTGACGACCCCCACGTTTGAGATGAACAACATCTGCATGTGTGGCTGACACCCGTTGACATGCGGCGTCTATGTGAATGTGCCGTGGACCTTGTGAGAAGCAGAGAAGATGGATGCCGTCCGGAGCCCTGCTCATGATGGACTCGATGGCTCTCCCGAAGTCTCGGACCTGCCTCCACATGGGCTTCAGACTGGCCAGGTCAGTGTACAAGTCGATCACCGACACCTCGGTACCGGGGTGCACCTGGAAGAGAAGAGACGTGGGAGGAATCAAACTTGTGATCTTTGGAGGGACAGAGTAACAGAAAATACTGATTAAATCAACAATCAGCCTGATGACGTTATCAGCCGCCTGAGGCAGTTCCTCCGAGGTAAAGCTGATCGGGGGAGAGGAAAATGATAAGGGTTCTGAAATCTAAACCCTCAGTTGAACCACGTCTGATTTTCATTTCACTCTCTGAGAATAATTTATCTTTAATTGTGACTTATACATCTTTTGATTTATTGTGTATGACAAACTTTAAAATATACTTTTATCGCGCAGCATTCCCTGATTTTATCTAATTCTATTTTTTATTATTTTAATGGGTGGTTGTGCTTTTATTCTTTTATTATTCTTTATATGTTTTATCTCGCTTGTGTGTCTTTTATTCATGAGGCACTTTGTGACTTTGTTATGAGAAGTGCTTCACACATAGAGATTTTATTTTAAAGTTATTATAAGAGTTTCAGTGCATCTGATTGGGATGTTTTTGTGCTTTGTGTTAAGAGTCGTCATCCTGTCTCTGACATTGGGATAAGATTTTACCTTGAGAGAAAATAATAAACTTGACCTGCAGTGACCCACACTTGTTATCTGCCGTCTCTCAAATCATGTAATAATGTCTCTGTTGTAAGATTGTGGTTTGACAGAAGGTTAGACGAAGGACGACTGACGCTCACTGAGTGAATCACTTTATTCACCAGTGAACCAGCTTTCAGTCTTTCACCAAACATCTGAAGAAGATTTCTTCTTAATCAGATCTATTGTTTAAAATACGTTTTAAACTAAATATACAGGGAGGTTAAATTAGAATTATTTGACCACTCAAAGTTCAAATCATCAACATTGACCTGAAATGTGAAATTACAAAACAGAACTTTTAGCTCGAGCAGAGTTTTTTTTACTGTTTCAGTTTGTTTGATTCCTTAAATACTTTTTTTAATCTCTGAGGCTCTTCTCTTTCTTTTTGTGTTGCGTTGCTTCTACACTTTGTCTCTGTGTCTTTTCTGATCCGTTTTGAGCACTTTGAATTTCACTGTAGTTGAAATGTGCTACAAGAATGAACGAAATAAAATAATCATGTCGATTCAAAATTGCCCAATTACACTAAGTCTTACTTTTCCTTTCTTTTTTATTTGTATTTCTGTTAAGAGTGAACAACGAAACGAAAGTTACACAGCAACACTTCCACGAATGACATTCATCTTCTTTCCAAATCTACTTCAGTCTTGGTTTTTTCTCGTGCACAGTGTTGTTCCTACCTTGGATATGAACAGAGACAGAGTTTTGAACTGCTTCGGTCCATCCAAGATCCCGTGCACGATGACGACAGGCTTGTATCCGTAGATGCAAACTCCTGCCAGGAGCAGCAGCAGCAGCAGCCGTGATGTCTTCATCTCCGGTCGGTCTCGGGCACTGACACCTCCCGCTGAGCTGCTCGATGCAGGATCGAGCTCAGAGACCTGAATGATTATCGATCTAATAATCGATCCGTTTTAACTTGTCTGGAATTGGAGAAGCTCGCGCACACTTCCTTCCTCGTCAGCTTCCCTTTGTTCGTGGGGTTTCTTTAAGGTCATTGAGGTATTTGTTTGCTCTGCAGTTCAGAGGTATATTGCAAAACGTAAGTGACCGTGACATGAATAATACAGCAAGGCATAAATAAAATAAAATGAAATAAGAAAATATTGCAATGTAAAGTGACCATGATATAAGTACTATGGTAAGGTGAGTCAGACATTGTAAGTGGTAAACGTAAATATTAAAAATATTAGAAATATTAGAAATGTAAATGCGGATAAATAAAAATAAAAATACAGCCATGGTGAGTAGTAGTGGGTCGAGACATGAACAGGAAACTACAACATTATCAGGTGGTGCAGGTGTTGTAGAGCCTGACAGCAGCCGGGATGAAGGACCTGCGGAACCTCTCCTTCTTACACCGTGGGTGTAACAGTCTGCAGCTGAAGGAGCTGCTCACAGTGTCATGTGGGGGGTGAGGAGGATGTTGACTAAGCTGAGATCCATCATGGACAACACCTCTCACCCCCCACAGTGTCTATGGAGTCCAGAGGACAGTCCAGGATAGAGCTCGCCCTTCTAATAAGTCTATTGAGCCTGCTCCTGTCTCTGTCCGTGCTGCCCGCTCTCCAGCAGATCACAGCATAAAAGATGGCTGAGGCCACCACAGAGTCATAGAAAGTCCTGAGGAGAGCCCTGCACACACCTTGGGGCGCGGCGTCTTCGGTACCGGGACCACACAGGAGGTCTTCCACAGGGATGGGACTTTCTTCAGGCTCAGGCTCGGATTGAACAAGTGCCCGACCACAGCACAGAGCTGATCAGCACCGTCCCTGAGGAGCCTTGGGCTGATGCCGTCCGGGCCCGGGGCCGTCCTTGCTTTGATCTTCTTGAGTTGACTCCTCACCTGACCAACTTTTACGGAAAGGGGGGTGGAGGATGACTGGGGTGGGGATGTGGGGGTGAGTGGTGAGAGTCTCAGGGGGGGTGGTGAACTGGTGATCACACCAAATGTTCATCCTTGTCCTCACAAACCTTTTGTTTCATTTCAAATGAATTCTTACTCTTCTCCTCCAGCTCACTTGTCTCGGTGTATGTACAGCATGTGTGGTGTAACATGATCTAGATGTGGTGGAAGTAAAGCTCAGCTTCTTTATCTAATCTGACTCCAGTTGTGCGTCGACACTGTCAAACAAAGTTTTTCATTCACTGGACGCTGAAGGTCACCCAGCCTCAATATCAAACACAGTGGTCACCGAGCATGTTCTCAGTAGAGCTCCTCCAAGACCGATAATCCACCTCAAACTCAACCAAGTTTCACACACTCATAGATATTAGTCCCTTTTCACCGAAATCCACGAATTCATATCCTGAGAATATGTTTTAAAAAAAGACCCACCACATATCTTACAATGTTAGAAGAAGAAATGTAAAAATCTTAGACACTGGAGCTGCACCAACATTTAATGGAGCGACTGAGACCTTTGTCCTGATGATGTCGCTCATTGTTTCCAACTAAGATGTAAACAAATATTATTTTTTAATTTGTGAAATAAGTAAAATAAAATGAAATCAATGTTTTCTATCTTTTGTTGTTTTTTTTTTACGTTACATCAGATTTTGTAAAGAACAAGCGAAGAACTGGATTATCGTTGTAGTTCCTCCGATGACCGCGGTGAGCGCTGCAGCCCCTGACGCAGGCTCCGTTCTTCTTCGGTGCTTCTACACAACGCGTTTCCGCTTTGAACTCCGGCGCGCTCGAGCTAAGTTAGCATCACATGTGTGGACATTGAACGTGGACTCATATTGAAAACAAATAAAAAAACCACAACACGAGCAGCTCCACGTGACGGCGGAGGAGCGCACGTGTCTGTTACGTGTTTTTATCCGGAACTCGTGAATCTACGACTCCAGACGAGTTCCTCCTATGTAGCCGCAGTTAGCTCAAGTAGCTAACTCACAGCCTGCTCGCCACCACAACAACGTTGTTGGAGAAGCGGTAAGTGAAACTATTCACTCAGGTTCAAACTCAGGACGAGACTAATCCACTCGTGTGCAGTTAAACCACAAAGATCCAGAGTCAACACAGTCCACGAATTTAAGTTCGAAGATTAACGAGTGAACTGACAACTGGTCGTTATCTTCTAACAGACACTAGAAATTCATTCACGTTATCAAAACATATTTTAACAACCACGTGTATGTGTTATTAGAAGTTAGAAGAAAGGAGACGTTAGCTCATCAAATCTGAACTTGTTTGGGGAAAGTGTGTGATTTTGACTTTTCAAGAACATTGTTAGAAGTTCAATGATTCGATGCCACTGAGGAGAAATATGTTGAAATCTCAGGAGCAACTCTAAACACAAACCTGACGACATTATTATCAAACTATGGCGAGATTTCAATATATACATCTTTTGTAATTTAACTTTAATTGTTAGAATCACTTATTATGTTGTTTTTTATATATTGGGGGGGACACATACTGTTGTGATTAACATGGAGCTGGAAACATCAAGTCACAGTTTGCTTTACATGACTTAATTTCCTATTTTATTTTCTATGTTTTAAAATAGTCCTGTTTCTGCTTCCAGGGCTTCACAATTAATTTACCTTTGAGTGTTGTAACCAGTAGTTTCTTGGTGGCACACAACTCCATGTGGCTTATTGATGACCGTGTTCTTGTGCTGTGCTCCTTCAACAGGCATCATGGCTAATCTGGAGCAGTGGGTCAATGACCGTCTCCATGACATCCTGGGGTTGAGTGACAGATACGTGGCTCAGTTCATGATTGGCACTGCACGGAAAGCGATGAATGCGCAAGACTTTGTGAGTCGTCTCGAGCAGACGGGCACGATTGATATCGACCAGAGTGTGACTGCCTTCGCACATGAGCTCTTCGACAAGGTGCAGTGTTAAAACTGTGTTTTCGTGCCCTGTGAGATGTTGATGTTAAAATATTTACATGATCTTTAAATGCCTCAAATGTTACAGTTTGTGTTTGAAGTTTTTTGTCTGAGAGGTTTTGGTGGGAATGAAAACTCTTAACAATTTTTTTCATCCCTGTTTTAACAGATTCCTCGCAAGCAAGTTGTTGAGAAAGCATCCCGCGAGATAGAACGGCAAGCCATTGAAATGGACAGGAAGAATCGCACATACACGTTGCTGGAAGACAGCGAGAGCGATGGAGAAACTGTGAGGGAGAAAGAAAAAGGGAAAAAGAAAAGTAAGGACAGAGGAAACAAGAGGAAGCACATCAGAAAGAAGAAAGAGAGTGAGTCATCCAGTGAGGACGAAGCACCTAAAGGGTAATTTTGTATTTTCACGTTTGTATATACTGTTGATAGCAGAGCAGGAAATGCTTTCTAGGATAAAAATATACCACTGAATTGTTATTTCATTATCTTCCAAATTATTTGTTGGTGATCTGCAGTTTCGATTGTAGTTTGACTGAATTAAAAAGTTCCTCATTTGAAAAGATGCAGCAGTTTGATGCATTTTGTTCTTGACCTCAGGGGTAATGCAGGCCAGTCGGTCCAGAAAGAAGAAGAGGAGGAGGAAGAATGGGAGAAGGAAGAGCGAGAGCGACTGCAAGACATCGAAGAGCGAGACGCTTTTGCTGAGCGAGTGAGGCAGAAAGACAAAGACAAGACCCGCAATATAGCGGAGAGAACTGACAAAAAGGTTGGAGACGAGAGAGTGATGACACATTTCATTCAGTTTTTAAAGACGACCCTTCATGCATCAGATAAAACACTTGTGTGTGTTTTTCTCCAGGCTTACGAGGAAGCTCAGAAGAGGCTGAAGATGGCTGAAGAGGATCAAAATAAAATGGTCAGTGCTCAGAGTTTCTGCTTGTGGTAATTATCCTGGGGAAGAAAGAAAGTCAAAGTGAGTCTTTATAGTTTTAACTGTGTAATAAAGTTTCTGTCGTTCTCTTTCCATCTCTAGTTGCCAGAGTTGAGGAAGCAGTCTCGCTGGGACTATCTAAAGAAGAGAGAGTCAGAGAAGCTGGAGGACCTGGAGGCAGAGATCATTGACGACGAGTACCTCTTCGCTACAGACGAGCTGACTGAGAGGGAGAAAAAAGAGTTAGAATACAAACGAACACTTCGCGACCTGGCTAAAGATTACAAAAAGGCCGGTGCCAAGGAACAAGAGGAGAGGAAGAACAGATACTACATGCCGGAAGAAAAGAGAGGCAAGGTAGGAACAAGAGATGCCAGGTACTGACCCTCAGAGACATCTGTGTGCATAGGTTAAATGGTTTGTTTGTTTCCCTGCTGACCAGGAGGTGCCTCAGAAGGACCTGGAGCTGGAGGAAACTCCCATGGAGCTGGGAGGGGAGCAAGGCCGCTGGGAGGAGGAGAGGCTGAAGACGGCCTCTCTCAGCTTCGGGGCCAAGAAGGAGCGAGAGCTGGGGATGAGGCATGAGCAGGAGAAGTACCAGCTGATCCTGGAGGAGGATGAGATGATCGACTTCGTCAGCACTGCCATTACCATGAAGGGAACTCGGGCAGAAAAGGTGGGCTTCGTCTTCTCCTCCCTAACTGTCCCCTGTTAGTTTTCAAACCACGGAGATCCATAAAGTAATCTGAGATCTTAAAGTCAACTCTGTACACAAGCTAAAACATTTTTGGTGCAGTCTTATAAGTTTAACCCTGTTGATTTCAGGATCAGGAGGAACCATCTCTGTCGCAGGCCGAGCAGAGGAAACAGTCCATGCAGGAGGTCCGACGCAGCCTTCCCATCTTCCCTTACAGAGAGGACCTGTTAGCCGCCATCCTCAAGCACCAGATCCTGGTTATAGAAGGGGAGACGGGCTCCGGAAAAACCACCCAGATCCCACAGTATCTCTTGGAAGATGTGAGTACGGAATCTTATCATAGCAACATATACTTATACTTCTCTATTGAACTTTCACTCGTGAACACAACAAAACATTTCTCATCGAACTTAAACGTTTTGAGCATTAAAGCAACTGAAATTCAGTGGTGTGGTGGAAATTTATCTCGAGATGTGAAATTAAGACTTTCTCAGACCGGAGTTGTCTTCAGCTCATTTAATAGAAAGCTCTGCAGAGGGTTTCACACTCAGCATGATGCACAGAGTGGAACCACCCCGAATAGGGAAAGAAGAAGGTTTTGTACAGTCAGGTGAAGAGACAACTGTTTCTGAGTAATGGCATCAAAAACTGGAGCCACCTGTAGTCTAGTTGAAACAGGAAGCTGTCTGCCTTTGCTTCTGTATGAAAGAAGACGTTTGCTACTGTCCAGATCAGGGTCAACAAGAGGATCATCATCAAGAAAGGACATGAACTCTGAGGTTACATCTGCCAAGTGCATAGCAACGGTCATGGCTTTGGGTAGTTTTCGAATCGTCCGTCTGCATTACGCCGGACAGTTCCTCTTATGCAAGCAGAATTGTTGGACACAGCACACGAGCATCGATCAGACATGTGGAAAGAGTTCAAGCTAAGGTCATATGCAAGTTTTCCATTACAGTGGTAAGCACTGAAAATGACTGTTCCTCTCTCAGGGCTACACTGAAGGAGGCATGAAGATCGGATGCACGCAGCCTCGCAGAGTGGCAGCCATGTCAGTTGCAGCCCGAGTGGCACAGGAAATGAGTGTGAAACTTGGGAATGAGGTGAGCTGAGCACAATCTTCATTTCTTCTCTAGAGGAGGCTGCAGGAAACTATTTTATTATCTAGATTATGGCTCAAACAAGTACACGAGTTTCTTCATATAAATTGAATTGCTCGATCCAGGTGGGTTACTGCATTCGTTTTGAAGACTGCACATCAGAGAGAACGGTGCTCAAGTACATGACTGACGGCATGCTGCTCCGAGAGTTTCTCACCGAGCCCGACCTGGCCAGCTACAGGTAATGCAAACATAAGTGTATCAATCGGCCATATGATGATCCGTGAGGGTTCTATGCATCATCCTCATGCCATCGCCCACAAACCTCCCACGGTTCCTCTCTGCAGTCTCACATTTCGTTCTCTGTGTCCAGTGTGATCATCATAGACGAGGCCCACGAGCGAACTCTCCACACAGACATCCTGTTCGGTCTGATTAAAGACATCGCCAGGTTCAGGCCGGACCTGAAGGTGCTGGTGGCCAGCGCCACTCTGGACACCGAGCGCTTCTCCTGCTTTTTCGACGACGCCCCTGTCTTCAGGATCCCGGGCAGGAGGTTCCCTGTCGACATCTTCTACACTAAAGTAGGATATTCTTTTTATCAACTGATAAAGTTATGGTTTTTTGATTTAATGGTTGAGAACAGCGATATAAAATTGTAGGAAAGAACATGACAGCTCACCACTGGGGATGTCCGTAAATCACCCGTAGCAGTGATAAGATCTGCTTTACAATGTTATTGAGTGTTTGTGGGAGTCAAAGTCTGTGTTTTAATAAATTCCAGAGAATCGAGCAGTTTTAAGTTTCTGTGTGTTGTGTTGCTCAGGCTCCAGAGGCCGACTACCTGGAAGCATGTGTGGTGTCAGTGCTACAGATCCACGTCACCCAGTCTCCTGGAGACATTCTGGTCTTCCTCACTGGACAAGTATTGTTTATATTAATTATTCTTCTGTAATTATTTATTACTTTATTGTTTGTCGGCTCTTTAACCTCTTTGCCCCCCGTGTGTGTTTTGCAGGAGGAGATTGAAGCGTGTTGCGAGCTTCTCTCGGAGAGATGCAGGCGGCTGGGATCTAAGATCGCTGAGCTGCTGGTACTTCCCATCTACGCCAACCTGCCGTCTGACATGCAGGCAAAGATCTTCAACCCCACTCCACCTGGCGCCCGGAAGGTGAGTCATAGTCTAATTTCTCTGCTGGAAGACATTGTTGTATTTCAACTTGGCAGACACCAAACTGTCAGCAGACTGCTCGACTACAGGTTTATAAACCAGTTAAGCCCTAAAGTGCCACACAAACAAACTAATGTCTGAAAGTTTTCTGAAGAGCTCACAGAATTGTTTACAAAAACTTTTATTTCTCAACCTCAAAAACTATGAAACTATTCACCAGCAGAGGCTGCTGTAGTACAGTGAGATCTGTAGTGACTTCATATCCTTTCTTCCTGATTTAATCTTTACTCTGCGTTGTTTTTCCCAAACGTTAACTTATTTAATCTTTGTGCTTTGTGTTCATTTCCCATCAATCCAAGGTGGTGGTGGCCACCAATATAGCAGAAACCTCCCTGACCATAGATGGCATCATCTACGTCATTGATCCAGGTTTCTGCAAGCAGAAGAGTTACAATGCCCGCACTGGCATGGAGTCGCTCATTGTCACGCCCTGCTCACGGGTAACTTCTCTTTTTAATTATTCGTAAGCAGGAAGTGTCGTGAATGCACATGTTTTCAGAACAATTCGCATCGACTAAATGTTCCTCACGTTGCCTGTTTCCTTTTTCGCTCTCAGGCTTCAGCCAACCAGAGAGCAGGCCGTGCAGGCAGAGTGGCTGCTGGGAAATGTTTCAGGCTTTACACAGCATGGGCCTTTAAACATGAAATGGAGGAGACGACTGTGCCTGAGATTCAGAGGACCAACCTGGGAAACGTAGTCCTCCTGCTGAAGAGTCTCGGTGAGAGGACGTTCTCTTCAGTGATTTTTTAAAATCTGGACATTTCATACACTTCTACTCATCAACTCATCAAGTTGTAGCGGATCATGATTTGCTGACTGTAAATGTGCAATGACCTAATTCTGTTTTGTTTACAGGTATCAATGACCTCATTCACTTTGACTTCATGGACCCACCTCCTCATGAAACTCTGGTCTTGGCCCTGGAGCAGCTCTACGCCCTGGGAGCACTCAACCACCTGGGAGAGCTCACCAAGGTACAAACTCTATTAAAAACATTTTATTTTAAAAGGCATCGTTGTTGTTATGTTTACGCTTTTCATCCACACCACTCCTGCATTTAGTCTTCGCCTGCAGAACCTAGATGTTTGGAAACGATGGTGGAAAATGTAGTTAGGCGTTAGAGGCTCAATGTTGAGCTTGTCCTGTCAGTCAATGATTATGGAGGATGTGAGGATGAATGAATGAACGCTTAATGTTTGTGGTGTTTTGTCAGCTGGGTCGCAGGATGGCTGAGTTACCCGTGGACCCCATGATGAGCAAGATGATCCTGGCCTCCGAGCAGTAAGTCCACCAGTTTCCTTTCACATGATTGTGCAGCTGGAATTTCACGTTGTTGAAGTTACTGCAGGATTGAAGCTATCAGGCCCCCC